CCGCCGGGCCACACGGAGATGGCTCTTGCCGGGTCGTTGCCATCAGGCAGGGCGAGCGTGTGTTTAAGGGTTTGCTTCTACCGGGAGGCTGTGAAGCACTCAAAAGTGTTTCTGTCTCTACATTGTCACGGGAGGGGTTGGGGACGGTGAGATGGGGGCAGGTATGAGGTTGCCTTTGAGCCTGCCTGCGGCGAAGTGCCTGTCCTACTTGGGGCCCAGTGCTACGAGGACCGGCTCCGGCCCTGCCCCGGTTTCCCAGCACCGGGGAGGCCCGTTCCCGGAGAGGGTGTGGGAATCCCAGTGAAAGCTGGAATCGAATGTCCTACGGCGACATGGGGGCGGCAGGTCAGAGCTTCGGGAGATTACATTTGCTCTATAGAAACAAAGGAATCAGGCAGCCCAGGGGGCTCAGCGGTTTAGCATCTGCCTTCAGCCTGGGGCGTGATCCTGGGGTCTGGGATCGAGTCGCGCGTCGGGCTCCCTGCATGGAGCCTGCTGCTCCCTCTGGCTGTGTCTCTGCCTCTCTCTCTCTCTCTCTGTGTGTGTGTCTCTCATGATTAAATAAATAAAATATTTTTTTTAAAAAAGAGAGAAACAAAGGAATCTGAGAGATCCCATACTCTAGGGTTGTGGACCAAAATCCCACAGGCCCCCGGCAAGTGCTCATCCCTCACACAAGCATCCACTCATTTATCCGCTCACCGAACAGCACCTGCCGCACGCCAGGCCTCGAGGGACGATGCTATATAAGTTCGAGGGGCCCTTCGCCATCACGGAGGGTATTCCAGTCAGGGCGCCAAGGAAAATATAATGCAATATATGGAAAAAGACGCTTAGAAATCGTGATCAAGATCAGAACAAAAGGCCAGAAGTTGGAGAATGCAAGGAAAGGAAGGAAGGGGACACATGTGTGTGGAGAGTGGGGTGACAGGAGGGCGGAGACAAACGGTCAAGAAGAGATGCCATTTCACTGAGGCCAAAGGGGTGAGGCCACCTGGGAGCGACGTGCAGGGAGGAGGCCTCTGGGCAGAGGGGAGGCAGGTGCAGGTGGGAGAGTGGGGGTGGGGGTAACTGCAAGGAGCGGGTTGGGCGGGCGGAGGGAGCTGGGCAGACGGGGGTGGGAGGGAGGGAGGGTTGAGAGGGATCAGGGGCCCAATCATGCAGGCCCTGGTGGCCCAGGGACGGGCCCTGGGATTCTTGGTCCTCAGACAATGAGACGCCACTGAGGCAATTGCAGGGGGGCAGTGAGGTGTGCAGCACACGTCTGCCACCTGCTCCTCGTGATTCTGCTCTCCTGGGTCTCACGGGGAGGCCCTTGACCGCAGACTCAGGGCGGGGGGTGTGTTCCCCGCCTCCCGGGATCGGTCAGGACCCGCCGGTCCTCCTGGGGTCGGGCCGTCTCTGAGCAAGGTGGCCTCTAAGCTGCTCCTGCGCCAAGTGGAGGACGGGGCTCCAAGCCACACCCCGTGAAGCAGCTGGGCGGCCTCCGAGGTGGCCTCACACTGGTGGCCCGCGGTCAGCGACCTGCTCCTGGGGCGTCTGCCGCTGCCCGTCGGGTCCTGAGGCCGCGTGGGGCGGCCGAGGGTGTGCCCTGCTGAAGTGCTGAGGCGCCGGCACCTACGCTCCGGGGCGGCCCTACGGGAGCCTCCGCGCCCCGCTCCGTGCAAGGGGCCCGTGGGCTGTCCGGTCACGCCTGTGGCCCCCCAGGTCAAGGCCGCAGGGCTTGGGGTGCTCTCCCCTGGGGAAATCTTGGAAGGGGACGGCGGGAAGGATTTTCAGCCTTAAAGCTGACCTTAAAGCCCTGGTCGCCCCCCTGCCCCCCGAAAGGCTAATTCTAACCTAATATTGACGAGAGCAAGTAAGCGCACTCATGCCACCCCAGTGTTCCTCCTCGAACATGTGGGTCTAAGCCAGCTGGGTTTGAAAGCCGTTCAGTTCGTGTTTTTGCCAGGAGTTTTGTGGGTGTAAAGTTTAAAAATAACTAGGTACACACAGGATGTCTGTGGGGAATGTGGGGAAATTCTAGGCTGGGGAACGGCGCCCGGGGCAGGGGCCCTGGCGGCTGGGCCCCGAGCGTGGGACGAGCCACATTGTAGGGGTCGGGCCCACCGCCCTGGCTCCGGGGCCAAGCCCTGATGTGGGTGTGGGCAGTGACTCAGAAATCCGTCACGTCACGGGGAGGACGCAGGCCCCGCAGAAAAGTAATTAAAGTGAAAAACAGGTGGGAGGGGGCGGAGGAACCGCAGGGGCAGGTGGAGGGCGGGAGCTCGGCCTGGAGGCCCGACGGCAGAGGGGACTGAACAAAACCGAAGGGAGCGGCCGAGGCCTGGCGAACCCGCACTCACGGGTTTTCCTGCCTGCGTGGACTTCCCCGTCCCCAGCCTGCAGGACACGTGAGTTGCGTAGCCCTGGATGAGGGGGCTGCTTCGGGCCGGGGGCCCCGTGAGCTGGGGGCGAGCACGGGGAGCGTTGGGGGGCGGCAGCCTGCGGCTCAGGGTGCGACCAGGGCCCGGGACCGAGGCCTCATCGGGCTCCCTGCTCGGCGGGGCGACCGCTCCTCCCTCCCCTGCCACTCGTGTGTCCTTGCTGTCTCTCCCCGTGGAATCTCACACCTACCGACACTCGCCGAACAACCGCACCAAACGCCAACCGGTCACTCCGGTGCTCGCTCATCGGGATCTTACTAATCGAGGGGCTGCTCTGCACCGGGGCCCGGTACCGAACCTGCAAGGCCGAGCGTCCCGTGCTTTGCCCTGAGTCGGGCACACGCGGGGGCTCGCCCGTCGCAGCACCAGGAGGTGTGCTCGGGCGGTGAGAGCCAGCAGGCTTCCTGGAGGAGGTGCCGGTGGCGTCGGGATGCGGGTGGGCTGCGTTGGGGGAACAGCCTGACCTCTGGCACGTGGGTGGGAAAGCACAGCGTGGACTTCGTGGAGCCGAGGGCCTGCTGGGCGGGAGCAGGGAACAGTGGGCGCTCGCAGGGGAGGGTGGTGGCCGCCGGGGGTGAAGGCCTGGAGGGTGCATCTGGGGGTGACACTTCTGCCTGGTTGGCCCCAGGGGGCCGTGGCACGGTTTTAGCAGGAGGGTGTGCAGAGCACTTTCTAGAAAAATTGGCAGGAGCAGGGCAGGTGTCGGAGCCACAGAAACCAGTTGGGGGTCTGTGGTCACGGCCTCGGACGGCGATAACTCGGTTTATGAAGACGCGCCAGCGGGCCCGGCTCTCAGACGACAGATGGGGGTGCAGGAATGCTAGAAATACCGGTGCTTTTTCTTCAGATCCAACTAATTCTTTTTGTTTGTTTGTTTTTAAAGATTTTTATCTATTTATTCATGAGAGACCCAGGCAGAGGGAGAAGCAGGCTCCACGCAGGGAGCCCGACGTGGGACTCGATCCTGGGACCCCAGGGTCATGCCCTGGGCTGCAGGTGGTGCTAAAACGCTGAGCCCCCCGGGCTGCCCTGATCCAACTAATTGTGATTTAAAGCCATGAGCCACAGGGAAATCCCTTTACACTAATTGTAATTGAGGGGGACCCTCCCTCAAACGGGATGGGAGAGTCTGGGAGGATTACACGGTGGGTGAATGGGGGAGGGCCTCGCCGTTCACGCTCCGTGGGGCTTGTGGCCTGGCCCAGCGAGCCAGAGGGGCAGGGGTCGGGGCAGGGGCAGGGTGGGGGGGTACGGGGGTGGGAGGTGGGGTGGGGGGTGGGGGGGGTGGGCACTGGCTCGCTGCCGGCACGCTGGCTGGCGGGGACTCGGGCCTCCTGGGCATTTGGGGGCGCTCTGCACCCCCTAGGCCAGGGGCTCCCAGGGGGCCAACAGCTGGGGGTGCTGAGCCTGGGCCCACACTGGCACCTTGGGCCCACCCCGCCTCACCCCTCGCCCCCCATCACCCCCTGCCCCCCACCTCACCCCGTCCCCCGCCTCACCCCCCCTCACCCCCCTGCTCACCCACTCACCCCCTGCCCCCGCCTCACCCCCCACCGACTACAGGTTTGGCCTCTGAGACTGGAGAGAGGCGGCCCTTGGACTTGGCACTCGGGGCCCAGTTCCCCTCTCTCCGCAGCGCAGCGCGGCCGGGAGGCAGGGGGTCAGGGGGTCCTCCGGGGCCGGGGCCGCGTCTACACCTCCAGCTCTGCTGGAGAGCAAACCGCTGGTGGAAATCCCCTCGTGAGACAGCGACTGGAAATCCGTGCTAAGAGGAGCCTGGTTCCCACTGAGGATTCACCTCGGGCGCTGAGTTCCGGGGAAGACCAGGCCGGTCAGCAGGTCTGCTCCCCCCGAGCGGGCCCTCCCTCGGGTGCCACCGGCCCGCCCCGCGGCGCCCCTCCCGCGGACTCTCCTGCCTCAAGGTCTTAAGCCCTTGGAGTTCCGCGGCCTCGAGCCCTGGTGGCACTGGGATAACCGGACGCGGGATAGTAAATGGCAGAGGCGAGGCTGCTTCCCTGGCGCCGGGCCGGGTGCAGAAAGCCCTTGGCCTCAGCTGGAGTGGCCTAGACTGTGCAATCCCACTAGCTTTCGTGTGACGCTCCCCTGTCCGAGGGTCACAGGGCGCCAGGAACACCAGTGCTGTAACTCGGTCTGTCCCACCACGTCCTCTCCCGTCACCGAGTATCTGGTCGCTCACCTGTCAGCGCCACGGGGGACCCAGACGTTTCCCTAGGGCTCGGCACGTCAGTCAGGAGCGGCCTAAGGACCACCTGGTCTGTGCAGTGACGCCGGGGGGTGCGTCACTGAGCCGTAATCTGGGGAGCCGTTCCGGAAAAGAGACGAGGGGCGGGCTGTGAACTAGACGGGGACACGCAGCAGCACCCCCCACCCCGGGCAATGCTGGGGGGCGGAGAACGAGGTCACCATGAAATGACAAAACACTCGGGCTAAGACGCAGGTGCCCTGAACCGCAGAGCCTCGTCCGGGAGAGAAAGAATCGGAGACAACCTCGTGTTTTCAGGTGGGACAAGTTTATTGAGCGCGGGTCGGCCTCTCCCGTCAGGCTGCGGGGGAGACGTCGGCGCAGCCAGACGGGGGGCCAGGCCCTTGTCGATGCGTCTCTGTGGCCGTCTCTGCAGAGTGTGCAGCCGCCTCTGAGCACCACCTGGGTGGCGGGGGGTGGGGGTTGCCTGGCTGGGGACCGAGCTGGGATCCCCGCTTCGGGCCTGGCACCCGGGGCATCTTGCACGTCCTGCTCCGCTGCCCGCCTCCCCCGGGTCACTGGGCTCCGGGGGGCTACCGGGGGGGGGGTGCCAGGGAGCCTTGGAGCCACCCGGGCGTGCACACACGTGTGGCAGACACGGGCACGCCGGCCAGAGGAGCCAGAGGAGCCCCCGTGGCAGCCGGCCTGCCCGCTCATGCCGCACTGACTCGTGCTCGTGGGAGGACGTCCGTGTGTCGACGCCCTGGCCTGGTATTTCCGTCCCTGAGTCCACATGCTGCTCCCCCCCGCCCAGCTGTCGGGAGGCACGTCTCCGACCAGGAGGAGGGCAGCGGTGGCTGCCTGGGAACCGGCGACGCGGAGGGACGCCCCTCGGTGCCCCAGCCCGGTGCTCGCTCGCGGGGATGCTGCCCGACAGGACGGCCCGCGGCCGCGCACCAAACGGCTGGCAAGCCCCGCCTCTGCCATGTAGCCCTTTCTAGAAACAGGTTGCTCGCCCCGGCTGGGGATTCGAAGAGGCTTGCGTGTTTATTTATGTAACATGGAGAAGATGGTAATTTGGAGGCCAGGAATATCCAGGATGTTGGGGATGGGACCCAAGGTCCCCTGCACGGGGACGGCAGGGGCCTAACGGAGGGCGGGGGGCAGAGGGGTCCTGAGGCTGTGCCCAGACGTGGGGGCGCTTTCAGGGACGTGGGAGCCGGGCCACGAGTCGTGGAGCAAGGAGCCCCGACCAGGAGAGCAGCAAGGCAGACACGTCCATGCTCCTGCTTCCAAAGGAAGCGGCGACCAGGCCCAGCTCGGCCTGCACCCCCCGCCCGACCCCGTGCCAACTTGGCACTAGAGCTGGGGACTGTAAACGTGAGCGGGAGGGAGCCGATGCCTGAATACCCTCGTGCTTCCACAGAGGCAGACGACGGCGGCGGGGGCTGAGGCCGGGCTAGCGCTCCGGCTTCAATTAAGGCGTCCGCGCCCTCGGGGAGGCTGGCGAGGAGACCGTGCGTCCGGGATGGCGATTCCTACCCAGCTTCCCCGTCTGCAGAAGACGGGGGTGTTTATTAACCTGCGCCACCGAAATGTCACTTAAAAATCATAAAAATCATTTGAAAGTGAAAAGGTCCGGGGGCGGGGGGGTGACAATGCGCGTTTGCGGAGAACGTGGTATAAAATGCGGCTCCTGCCGTTTATACAGAAACACGCGCAGCCCTTGGATGCTGGTTTTGGACGTGGAGCAGTCGGAGGACGCTCCGCCGTGACTGGTCACCTGATGCTCTACCTGCGAGCGCGGTTCTTCCCGGATCCAAGTACCTGCAGGGAGCGGGCGTCTCCGCAGACCTGGCGACTTCGGGCCACGCGGTGGTTGACAGGTGGACGCAGACCTGGCCTCTGGCTCTCAGGCCCTGCCTCGGTCCCACCGGGAGTCTGTGCTCACGATCACCCCTCCCAGGGTACAGGGGTTCCTTTGCCTAAGTCCACGTCTCGGGGTGTGCACGGGGCCGGGCGCCGCCGCGGTCTGCCGCGGTCACTCTTCCAGCAGGCGGGCGGTGTGGGTTTCGCTGGGGGCGCCACCCGGATCCGCGGGCACCTGCGTGGGCTCCGGGGAGCCGGCCGTCCACGTGGCCGCGCGCCCGTCTCTCGCACAGGCCACTTGGTTGCTTCCCCACACTCCACCGTTTGGCTTTAATTGCTTTTCCTTCCATTTTTTGACGTGAAAAATCGCCAAGTCGGCTCCGGCTGACTAGGTTTGCTTTTCATCTCAAGTAATTACACGAAGCATTTAAACCGCACTAAGTGCACGAAGCCCGATGTCCGGGGGAGCGCAGGAGGCAAAGGACGCGTCTCCGGGCTGGAGCTGGAGAATCCAGGTGCACAGACACGCCGGCGTCTTGCCCGCCCGCCACCTGTCAGGTAAGAGGCGGCGCTCAGGTGCCCAGGGATGTGCGGTCCGGGCGGAGGGGGGCCAGGAGCACGGGGCCCCCCCGGGCCGCAGCACCAGGGCCCGTGCCCGGAGCCAGGCGAGGGCCGTCAGATGTAGAACTCCTCGGCGTCGCGGCCCGCAGGCCCCGGGGGCGCAGGGGCTGGCAGCTCCGGGGGGGGCCCGGGCGACACAGCCAGGAGGGGGACCCAGGTCGCCCCCCCGCCCCCCGTGGGCAGGGGCCCCTCTCGGACCCCCTTGGGCTGCGGCCCGTGGCTGTGCACCCCCCCGGGGCCCAGGGCGGCCTGGGCACGGCCGAAGCTGCTGGGCGCCGAGTAGGCCGAGACCACCGACAGGTCAGAGGAGGACAGCCGGAGGCCCGTGTCCACGTCCGTCTCCTGGGCCCCCTCCAGGTCGTCTACGGAGACTAGCTGGCTGTGCCCGCGCCCCGATGCCCTGTGCCCAGGGGCGCCGCTGCTGGAAAACCACTGGGGCAGCGCGGAGGAGCCCGGCGGTGGGTCCCCCGTGGGCAGACAAAACAGGGACTTGCTTCTCTGGAACGACCAGGGGAGGCTGGTGGTGCTGCAGGCGGGACCCACCAACTCCGGCAGGTGCCCGGGGGGCCGGGCCGGGGGGCTGGGCGCGGGCTGGGGGCTGACGGCGGGGGGCTGCTGGTGGCGGCCGGACACACTCCCGCTCGGGGAGGGCAGGGGAGGAGGCTCCTGCTCCGACAGGTGGGGGCTCCGGGCGGGCCTGGGGGTCTTGAGTGCCCTCTGCGCCTGTGGGGGAGGAAGGTACAGTGGTTAGCTGGAGCGGAGCACGGTCATGGGTCCCCCGGAGCCCCCCCCGGGTGTGGCTGCAGCCACTGCAGTCCCCCAACCCCACAGCCAGGGTGCAGGGAGCACAGTGGGTGGAGGCGAGTGGAGGTGACTGGGAGCGAGTGGGAACCAGTGGGAGCCAGTGGGAGCCAGTAGGGGTGAGTGGGGGCGAGTGGGGGCGAGTGGGGGCCAGTGGGAGCCAGTAGGGGTGAGTGGGGGCCAGTGGGGGCCAGTGGGGGCCAGTGGGGGCCAGTAGGGGTGAGTAGGGGTGAGTGGGGCCAGTGGGAGCCAGTGGGGGCCAGTGGGAGCCAGTAGGGGTGAGTGAGGGCCAGTGGGGGCCAGTGGGAGCCAGTAGGGGTGAGTGAGGGCCAGTGGGGGCCAGTGGGGGCCAGTGGGGGCCAGGTGCACCAGGCCCCTCAGCTCGGGGAGCTCCCTGAAACTTCCCGGGGGAGGGACAGGGGGGTCACCGCTAAGTGCAGTACGACCCCTGGAAGGACGGGCTTGTCTCCAGCCAAAGCACCACCGTCGGAATGTGACCCACGGAGGACGGGGTGACCAGGGTGGGGTGGCACAGTCCAGGTCAGCACGGGTGGGTGGCGGCCAGGGCCTGCCCAGGGGTGGGCGCCCATGGCTCGGCAGCGTATCTGAGGAGCGCGGGGCTCCCAGGAGGTGCTGGTGGACCCAGCGAGTCCTGGGACGCTCTCCCTTCAGGGCCTGGGCAGCAGGGGCCTGGCACCGTCCCCCCAGGGCCCCCTCGGCCCGCTACCCGCCCCCGCGGCACAGTGGGAGCCTGTGTCCGTCTGTGGGACTGGGGGGGCTGCCGTCGGTGCTCTGCTGCTCTCAGCCTCCCTCTGCTCCAGCTCAGAGCTCAGCCCACAGACCAACCCTACGACACAGTTTCCGTCAACTAAGGGATTTGGGGGGCACCTGGGCGGCTCAGGTCATGACCCCGGGGTCCTGGGATCGAGCCCCGCGTCGGGCTCCCAGCTCAGCGGGGCATCTGCTTCTCCCCCTCCCCCGCTCATGCATCTCTCTCTCTCTCTCTCTCTCTCTCTCAAATAAATAAAATCTTTAAACAAAATAATGGGTTTGGGGACAGTGAGCCTGGCCCTAGTACAGGATCATCCAGCTTCTGGATCCTTGAAATAAGGGCTGAGTGAGGGTTCGCAGCGGGGGTGCTTCCTGGCCCCCAGCGGCCGTGACCCCCTGGGCCTTCCTGCACAGCACACACCCTTGCTTCCCTGTTGACGGGGAACCGGGTTTTCCCACAGCCACCCCGGACTCGGGGTGAGCGTAACAGACGTGTTACAGGTGAGGGAGGGGAAGCGGCAACGAGACCCCGTCTGTGACCACGTGAAAGTCCTGTTTCGCTGGAAGGACGGGAGACAGAAGTCGCTTAGGCAAGAGACGGTGACGACAGAGACCAGGCCTGCCCAGTGGGAGCACAGGTGGCCCCACAGGTGAGCCTTGGAGACGGGCGACTGTCCTCCGCGTGGACAGCATGGGCGGGGGGACGCGGTGCTGGACGGAGGCTGACCACGCAGAGGCTGACTGCTGGCAGGTGAGCGAGGAACGTGCTGGGGTGGGGGGTGGGCAGGTGAGGGAGGAACCTGCTGGGGTGGGGGGTGGGCAGGTGAGGGAGGAACCTGTTGGGGGGGTGGGCAGGTGAGGGAGGAACCTGCTGGGGTGGGGGGTGGGCAGGTGAGAGAGGAACCTGCTGGGGTGGGGGGTGGGCAGGTGAGGGAGGAACCTGCTGGGGTGGGGGGTGGGCAGGTGAGGGAGGAACCTGTTGGGGTGGGGGGTGGGCAGGTGAGGGAGGAACGTGATGTGCTGGGGTGGGGGTGGGCAGGTGAGGGAGGAACCTGTTGGGTGGGGGGTGGGCAGGTGAGAGAGGAACCTGCTGGGGTGGGGGGTGGGCAGGTGAGGGAGGAACCTGCTGGGGGGCCACCTGGTGGATCAGAGTGTAGGCACTGGAGCCAGCGAGGAAGGCCACACTGGGAGTGGAGCCTCACGCCGTCCTGGGTGGGGACCTGGACCCACTGGGTCGGGAATCCACCTGCTGGTCCTCAGAGTCTCAATTATGCGTCATTTTTTACATATGACCCTTCCCTTCGTCGATTCCTAAGGTCCCCCCCGACTGCAGGTAGGTCTCGATCCCACAGACCCACCGACTCATCTTTCAAGCAGCACTGACGGGAGGCAGAGCTTCCCCACGCGGGTTTGAGTTCTCAGTGGGTTCATCAAAGGCGCTCGGAGACCCGCGTCGCCAGCAGCCTGTGCCCCACGCGGATACTCTATCTTCCTCTTCTGTGTGCTCCGCGGTGTGCAGAACGGCGGGGGGCCAGGCCCGGGGGCTCTGAGGGAGGCCTGATGGTCCCCGGCGTCCAGGTGCAATAAAGGGAGCGGTGATGAGGGGCGGTCTGGGCCGCAGGGTGGGCCAGGGGAGGGCGCCCACCCGGAGGGGGAGGCGGGGTCTGCAGAGGTGACGGCCTGGGGCCTGGGCCGGTGGTGCTTGAGCAAAATCTTGGAAGAGGTGCTCCCCGACCAGGGGCTCTGCAGGAGCAGGCGGGGGGCGCCCCGGGCGCCCACAGGTGAGGCACCTGGAGACCTGACGGGGCGGCCACTGCAGGGCTGCGGCTGCTGGGGGCCTCAGCGGGAGCTGCGGCAGAGATGGAGGCTTCCCCGCCTCCCCGGGCCTGCGCCCCGCGCTCCGCACCCTGCTCCCCAGCACGCGCCCGGGCGCCAGGTGAGGGCCCTACCTGGGGGAAGGGGCGCACCAGTGCCCGAGAGGCGTCGCTGCTTGGGGGGCGGGGGGGGGGCTGCTGCGCAAACTGGTTTGCTCGGGCATTGAGCTTGGCTACACATGAGATGTCCTGAGGCTGAGGGCAGAAGTCCTTGGTTACCAGGATGCTGGGGGGCGGGGGCTGTTTATTTATTTGTTAAAATATTTTATTTGAGAAGGCGCATGAGCAGGGGAGCAGCAGCAGGGGAGCAGCAGCGGGAGAGGGAGAGCAGGGCCCGACCCAGGGCCCACCCAGGACCGGGTCACGGCCTGGGCCGCAGGCAGCCTCCCCGCCCCCCAGGTGCCCCGAGAGGCAGTGTTTTAGCCGCCCTGTCCGTTGGGGGCCCCGGGGGCCCCAGCGACCTTCCCTCCTTCTGCCTCGGGGCTTCTCGGGGCGACTGGGGGGCCTCATTTGGGGCCTGCCTGGGACAGGAAGCTGTGTGCCCTCGGGCCGGGGAGCGGGCACCGATGGGGGAGGCCCCCTGGGCAGCGGAGCCTCGGCCCCAGGGGCGCAAGGGGCGCGCCCTGCTCCCCCCCTGCTCCCCAGGGCCCTGCTCCCCCTGGGCCCTGCTCCCCCGCCAAGGCCCTGCTCCCCCAGGTCTTGCTCCCCAGGGCCCTGCTCCCCCTGGGCCCTCCTCCACCCCAGGCCCTGCTCCCCCCAGGTCCTGCTCCCCACCCAGGCCCTGCTCCCCCGGGTCCCACTCCCCCTGGGCCCTGTTCTCCCCTGGGCCCTGCTCCCCCCCAGGCCCTGCTCCCCAGCCCTGCTCCTGGCAGGTCCCTGCTTGTCCCACGGGGACCAGCATCACTACAGCTGAGAGCCACTCACCAGGGGTTCGGTTAACGCTTCCCTGAGGGTGACCCTCTGAGTCCAGCACCTCCTGTGCCCCGCCTTTCCCGGGAAGCCCCTCTCGCCCTGGCGGCTTCGGGGCTGCCTCAGGTGACAGCAGGCGACCTAGGCGATGCACCATGGGGTCACCTTCCTTTGTCTTTGAGGCAACACAGGGTCGGGACTCACGGGGACGGAAGCCGGTCCCCTGCCCCCTTTGCTATTTTTGGAGCAGAACAGCATTAGAGCAATGACTCTGCTTAAGGCAACTACCAGGGAGATGAGCTTAGGTCTCTGGAATCACCAAACAACTAAAATGCAGCAATGGCCCCGAAGCGTCTCACGCACCCTGGAGCACAGGCAGCTTGCGCTCAGGGAAGGGGGTCGGAGCTGCAGCCTGCTTGCTGGCCAACCGGTGGCAGTCGGCTTGTTTCCGCAGGTGGGCGCAATCCCCAGGGAAGGCCGCACTGCCCTGACCCTCCGGGGCACGGTGACGCTGGGGTTCTCTCTCACCCTCACCTCCTCGTTCGCAGAAAGGTCACTCCCTCTTGTCCCTGGCACACGCACAGCCAGCGTGGCGCTGTCTACCAAGTAACGACACAGCAGTAGAACTTTTACCCCACAAACTAATGAAGAAATTGGGGTAACTCAAGGAAATTGGGCAATGGGTTCACATGAGAAATCAGATTTTTGTTCTAAAGATAAATACATCTTCTCCTTTCACTGTCCTCTGGGAAGTTTTCATATAGCCTGTGTTGTCTTTGAAATTATTTTTAAAACTTAAGATCATTTAAAAATTATTATTTTTAATGATTTTACTTATTAGAGAGCACGAGCAAGCAAGAGCGGGGCTGCATAGGGGAGGTGGGAAGAGCAGATGGATGGAGAGGGGGAAGCGGACTCCCCGCTGAGCAGGGAGCCGACCAACTGGGGCTTGATCCCAGGACCCCGAGATCCTGACCTGAGCCAAAGGGAAACGTTTAACTGAATGAGCCACCCAGGTGCCCCTAAACATTATTTTACTAAAATAAATCTTATTGAAATACAGTTGATATACACACTATTCATATGACGTAATTATTCTATGTTCATATATGTCGTGATCACCGTAATGAGCTTAGTTAATCTATCAGCACTGAGAGCTAAGAATCTTTTCTTGTAACAAAAACTATCAATCTGCTCTCCTGGCAGTTTTCGGTCGATAAGCCAGTCCTGTTAACAGCAGTCGTCAAGCCGTGCCACGTCCCGGGGGCTTATTTATTTTATCGTCGAAAGTACACCTTTTGAACAGCTTCACTCCCCAGCCCCCAATTCTGGCAGCAGCCACCAGTCTGTTCTCCATATCTGTGAGCT